CGCACAACACCCAGATCACAGAGCGTCCTATTGCACAAAGCTGCTGCTGCTGTCATGGCCGTTGGGCGGGACCCGACTCACAACGACCCCTCCTTGGGTTTCCGAGGCAGTGTCTCTATGGAAATAGACTGCCCAGCCTTCCTTCCGAGGAGTGGCTGGTGGGTTTGAACTGCCGGCCTTATGGTTAGCAGTCAGGTGCCTCAGGCACTGTGCCACCAGAGTACCTTTCACACAGCATAGCATGGACATGAAGTGACACACGACTGTAATTTAATATTTAAAAGAAGCACATTTCTACTTCATTTTAACTCTTATTTTTTTTTTCCTGTAGGGGAATTAGGCAAGTTCCCTAACCCTTACAGCTAAGCAGCACGGAGCCCTGGTCCAGGCCAGTCCTTCCTCCTGCGGCCTCTGACAAGCGTATCACAGAGCATTAGCAGTCGGGAAGGGCTCACCTGGGTGACAGGGACGGGTCTTCTGGCCAGCCGGGGGACTTCAATCAGACAGCCTTGGTAATAATCCAGCATGGAGGCACTCGGGTGACACACACAGGCCCCACCGTCTGAATGGGCGTCCACACAGCTCACACAGAGCACATTCGTTTTCTTGTTCTGAAGTGGCCTTGACATCCCTGCCCAGGGGACATTAACAAAACTGTGTCCACAGTCTTCTCTGTCTTGCTTCTGCTGAGCCTGTCTCACCCAAACTAAAGGCACGGTGACATCCGCCAAGTCCCGTGCCAGCAGCACCTGCTCTCGGTAACATTCTATACAAAAATTAACTCCAAATGCAAAACCAAACACTACAAACCTTCTATAACAAAACACACAAGAAAACCTTTGTGACTGTGGGTTAGGGAAGGACTGGTGGGACACAACACCAAAAGCATGACCCGTAAAAGTATAACAGATGAAGCCTTGGCTCTCTGAGAGACACCGTTAGGAGAAGGAAAGGGAAACCCACAGACAGGAGGAAACTTCTGCACATCACAGCTGATAGGGAGCTCGGATCCAGAACACACAAAGAACGCTACAAAGTCAAAACAGGCAACCAACCCTGCTTAAAAGTGGGCAAAACATTTTGGACATTTTACCAAGGAAGATACAAGGACGACAAAGGTGCACACAAACAGATGTCGAGACCAGCAGCCATCCCAGAGACACCAATCGGAACCACAAAAGGGGAAAAGACTGACCGTGCCCAGTGCAGCAAGGCTCTGGAAGAGTGGCCGTGTACGGGGGCAGCCACTGTGGAAACCGGTGCGGCAGTTCCATGAAAACTGAAAAAGCACCACCTGACATGGCAATCACACGCCCAGGTGTTTACCCAGGAGAAGCGGAAGCCTGAGTCCACACAGACATGCCTGTGAATGTTCACAGCACGTTTATTTCAAACAGCCCCAAACCGGCAATGACCCAAACGTTCACCAACTGACGAACGGATGAATACACCGTGCTCCAGCCACACGATGCAGACCACACACCTCGAGGACAAGCTGCACGTGGCCCAGGCCGGGGTATTTTCAACGCCCTCATGTGCACAACAAAGCTGGACGTGACTAGGAAAGACCCCAGAAGTGATACCTTTGAGTTATGTGCTGGCAAAGCACGTTGGATGGATTGTGGGCTGAAGGAAGGAAGAAGTCGTCTTAGAAGAAGCGCGGCCAGAATGCTCGTT